TTATACTCCTTATATTGCTAATTATGCGATCATTTCGTTAAGCATAATTGCATTGAATTACACTACCAATGATTAAATTTATTCAAACTGGGCTCTTTAAAATGAGTTTTTCATTTATATATTCGATGCTAACCTTCTGATGCTGTAGATTAGATGGCATATTTTCGCCTCTAAATAGTCTCATTTTAATGGCATCTGATATGAAAGCAACTTCTTCTATTTGTAACCTTTTTTTATTTACTTCTTTTTCCTCCTATTCATTCTATAGTAGATGAAAAATAAATATTTTCGATTTTTAGCTTCAATATTGTGGCTTCAGGTATCATTGATTTGGTAAATTTATTTTATGACGAACGTGGTATAACTCTTTCTATCTGGAGAGTGGCATTTAAAAATGGATGTTTTGCAAACTGAGTTACAATTCCAAAGCTTTTTTACAGTCCAATTTTAAATTGATACTAAAGCTTCACAAATTCAATCTTTCATTAAATATGTTCCTTCCTACTTTTGAAATACAAGTGGATTGTAACTAGCCGCAAGATATTTTCGAATAGAAATTCGTGACCCGTTCCTATGCCTTTTTCTCTATTGATATCCTTGGATGAGGCAGATCATCACCTTAATAAACTTTGTGGCTTATCCAATTCGTCGCTCATCCTTTGACATGATTTTGTCCATTGGCTAAATCTTATATTATTAGCATCCGTACTTTAATCTTGATGTTTATAAGCTGGGCATTAAGAGCCTTTGCGTAACTGATCCCGCTTTTTTTGCCGTGCTCTTCTAGCTCAAACTTCTGGTTTGATCGTCAATGAGTCAACCACTTCTGGATCAGGCCACCACCAGTCATCACACTCACATCCGACTGGATCATCCCTCTCTTCTTATTCTCCTAATCAGACTTATTCTATCAGTTCTGGTCCTAGCCCCAGCCACCTGCCCACTTCGGTCGGCTGTTCAGGCTCGGGTACTATCACCACCAGCGGAAGTTACACTCCTGTCCTTTCAGATATGCCAAGTCGCAGGTGTCGTTTTGGTGTAGCTTGTCTGGGTGGGTTGGTCTACGTGGTGGGTGGATTCAATGGAAACCTTCGAGTCCGCTCTGTGGAGGTATATGATCCAGCACGCAATGTATGGCACTCTGGCCCCAATCTGGAGTATCGACGGTCAACATTGGGAGTAGCCGTGCTGAATGGCCTTATTTATGCTGTTGGTGGATTTGACGGAAGTACAGGTAGAGTTTAAAGCCCATTTATTATGCCTGCCCGTTTGCCCTACACAATTGGATTTGTCTATGTATACTAGCCTATTGTACTTTATTAAAGATTTTTTATGAACTTACTCTGTTTAAAAATTATTTCCACACTGGGCCTCTTATATAGCCTCTCATCGCAGGCGTCTCTATATCCTTTACTCGGCCATACTCGGATGTTTATCCCGATAAGATGCAGAGGCAATATAAAAACTTACCTCACGAACACTCAGGATCAAACTGAGGAGCCTTTTGATCTTTGGTGGAGGAATGGAAGTTGGAAAGACAATGCGTAATTGCATGTACAGGATGTGAACTGAGACACTGGGTCTGAAACCAAGGCTCTAGGACGACGTAAAACCACTTTTTGAGAATTTCTTTGGGAAGATCTATGAATGCTAAGTTATAGCCACCGTTACCTAGGGAGGATTAAATAATCAGTAGTACTCTTATTATTTTGATTAGTATAAATCGCACCGTCACCAAAAATCAATCGTTTTAGGCAACATTCATGCATTGAACCCGTGTTGTCATTATTCTATAGCTTTGCCTAACTGGCCACGAGATATACAGTACTATAATTAGCTTAGCGCCCTCTGACGCATCAATTTGGCAGGAGAACGTTTCCTGCTAATACAATTGAGCATGCTTAGTCAACTTGAAACTAACATGAGCATGTGAGAGTCTATAATATTGTTGAGATCGGGACTTCGATCAAGAGTAAAAATATTCTGTACAAGGCATTCTTGCTGGAACTCCTCTTTTGTTTGTTTTAGTTTTATTAGGTGTGTTTATTCTAATTCGTTTAAGGTATTTAGAATCCTACTAGGGATGCTGATGCGTTCTAAGTGACGTCGAAACTACCGTCCACACTGGATGAGAATATCTTTTGGGAAGCAAGAATATGTGAAATCCCATGAAAACGTTAGGTCTACCCATATCATCGTGGCATCATTCATCACCTTGAACCAACTAGGATAAACACACCTCATATATCTGATTTACTGGTAGACTCGAAACCCTGCTTACAAATGTTATAGTTTTAATCCTGCATTTCTCGTCATTTAACTATTACATCCCAGAAGGATTATTTTGCTATGAATTCACATCTAGAAGCTGAACTGGCAAATTACCTTGTCAATATGCGCATGTTCTATATCGTGCTATAGGATTTGTTAGTGTTTATACTCAAAATGAATTGCTGGCAAGCTTTTACATTGCGTTAAAATTTATCTTGGTATTCTATGTCCAGCTCTGACTTAGTTGGCTTGAATTCTGCCTTATTTTGTGGTAGTAAAAGTTGACACATTTTCAATAAGGGGCATCTTATTTTGGCTTTTTCAAAGTTTACTAGAAACTGCCGTCATACATTTAACCCTCTTTCTCTCCATATGTTTCAAGTGTCCTGAAGTACTTTTAGCATGACTCTCTGAGACGTTAGACCATCAATTTCTACTAAAGACCGAATGGACAGTAAACATTCTGTCTGTCTGTATCCAGTCTTATTAAAGTTCTGGAAGTGACAACATAATTACAAGGAATATCATTTATACATATTCCTTTAACAAAAATATGACTAATCGTTCACCCTTATTCATTATTTTAGAGAAATTTGGATTGTATTTCGGGTATTCACGCGTGAAACGCATGCTTTTATATCCAAAAATAATTTTTAAACCTCTTCTGTCGATACAAATTTTCTTACAA